CATTTCGACATATTTGAACTAAATCCTACTCTAAACCTAGTCTAAATGTCCGCCAACACCCGTTCGCCCATTTTCGGCCGGCCATGAGCCCTGGGAACTGAAAACTCCAGCTTCGCCTCCACAGCCTACAAGCGGCTAATTGGCCGACGATTTTGAGCCCGTCAAGCTTGGCTTAGCGGGAGCTAAAGGGCAGTGACCTTCTTGGTGTCCGAGCACAGGTGAACTCCCATGATATACTTTTCCTCGCTGTCGCTAGCGCCCTTGGACGTGCCGGCTTTGTGGTCGTGGCGGTGAGGCGCGGGCGTGGCGGGGCTAGCAACGTCTTCCTCGTCCTCGCTCTTTCCATAGACTTCGTCGCCCGCCTCACTGATCTCCTTGAAGACCACTTCTATCTCCGACTGACGTTGGCGGTACCGCCAACGGCCGCGACGGAATTTGTAGGCCGTGCGATAGGAGTCGACCAGCGCCTTCTCCTCCGCCTGGTCCATGTCTGGTGCTCCGTGCCGGTGGCAAGTTGCTCCATCACGCACCAGAGCTCATTGAGGAGGTGGAGGTTGTACTCCTGGTCGGCTTGAGCCTGTCGGAACAAGGCCTCCTGCACGGGCATGCCGGCATGGACTGACGAGGAGGGTGGCGTCGCCCGTCATTGGTCACATCTTCCATTGGGATGTCCGTAGCGCCGGCCACCGTCTGCCTGGCGGCCTGCAAACCGGCAGCAATGGCGGCATCTCAGTCTTTTGGTCGAACGAGAGGTTGTCCCAGATGGCTTTGGAGCTCAAGGAGGCCATGACGGTCGTGGTGCGGTGAGGAAGAGGATGGATGCGTCTATGACTGGGGTTGGAGTTTAAATAGTCGGCGAATGACAGGGCAAGCGAAGAGGTGGCTAATGGCGGGCAGTAGACGAACAGACCTGTGGCGCCGGAGTAGGTTCTTCGGCAACCGCGCATGTTTAATGTAGGGAGGCGGAATGATGAGTTATCATTTGAACGTGGAATTACAGTGTGCACCGGGAAACGGCGTGGGCTGCATTCTCGTCCGGCGTCGCTTCAATGCCAAAGGGCCATTGAGATGACGCATCGCTCTAAGCCGGCATGAATGCAAGATCGATGCTTTGGAGCGGCGCTGGCCACTTCGGATAGGAGGGACATGGGCAAAGGAGGGTTTTTTGGGTGGGCCATGGCAGATAGAATCAAGCGTGACAGCGGTTTGGATGTCCGCAAAGCCTTCAATTTGTTTTCGTATTGCGGGAGAAAATAAGTCCGGGCCGGTCGACAGACCGATATAGACCCGCATTGAATGGCAAAACACGTCTGGACCATGAGGTCTGGACGGTTGTGGTCGTTTCGAGGCTCGGTGTTGAAGATGCCCTTACATACTCTTCGAGAGTTTAATAATTCATTTAAAATATTTTATCAAATTATCAAAAGATTTGGATTCTAATGATTTTGATCATGTAGTTTTTTAATGGAAGGTTTGTTTGATTTAGAAGATTAAATGTTGGCCCAAGCGCAAGAAATACTATAATCCCCTCGCAAAAATTAGAAAAAGAAATACTATAACCGGGACAAAACAGGGTTGGGGGCTTGGGGCCTACTGACCGGCACGTAACACCCATCAGGCCATCAACGTGTATCCACCGAGAAGCATCTGCGTCCATCTCCTTTCTCTCGCTCCATCTCTCTTTCTCATTCATGTGCTTTCACCGATCTTCTTAGACCAAGCAGCTAGCGGGATTAGCCGCGCTGTGAGCTGGCTGCCCGGCGAGGTTCGTTCCCAGGTTGCCGGCGTGTGTCAATCGTGTGAGGCGGGCCCAGATGTGAAGCCTCCACACCCAAAGTTGTTGGCTTCCCCAGTTCCACCGGAGCGAGCGCGAGCGTCGCCGCCGGATCTGCCAATAGTGTCACACAGGCGCAGATGTGAGGCCTCCACCAAAGTTGCTGGCGCCCCACGTTCCACCGGAGCGAGCGCCGCCGCTAGATCGCTCGTCCCTCTCCCCTCCTCTGTGCGTGTCTTAGACTAGTCATAGTGCATAGCACGATAGATTAGTCTCATTTATTATCACGCATGACACATAGTAGCATCATATTTATTATGTTACGGTATTTATCTATATTACTATAACTATCTCTTTTTTTTAATTGCCTGCCACATAAATATTATTGTGAGTCCGAAATACATAATACTATTTATGTTACCCCACTATGGCCAGCCTTATCATCTGCAGACCGCAGCGCGTGCCACTGCTGCTCTCGCGAAAACGACCTCCTCACCTGCCCTGCCCACTTCTTCGTTCACAAGGTGGCAGTTGCTAGATCTCGATACGGGGACCTGTCCTTGTATTATCGTATCCACGTAGGAGCATCTATAGTTGTGATGGCCAAATCTGGCCTCTCAAACAGTCGGGCACGCCTCGTATTTAGCACTTTGCATCTGCGTATCTCATATCCGACGCCTTATATCTATACTACACATGCAAACGTTGATCTTCCCTACATGATCAAACGATGGACAACAAAACCCAACTACAAAAAAACACAAAATCGACTGCAAACGGACATTAACAAACTTCGCCACATCCAAAAAATCTTAGTTCATCGTCGGACAAGTTCTTAAACTTGTACAACTACAAACGATATAAACATTGAGGAGGGGGATGAATCACCACTTCCTCGCCGTGCCTTTGCCCTTCCGGTCGCCGGTGCAGTTGTAGGTGTCTGCAGCTGGTGGAGGGTCTTGGTCGTCCAATGAGGAGGTGCAGCTGTTGCCGTCGTTGGATTTGGAGTCGGAGAGGACGATGAGTCCCTTCATCCGACGAACCATCCTGTCTCCCCCCCTTCAACCTGGCGACTCGAGCCTTCTTCATCGTTGCCTCCTTCGCCTCGCGCTCCGATTGCTCAATAGCAAGCCGGAGCGCCTTTGCGTTCTTCTGTCGGAGGCGGGGAGTGTCTGTCTCTACCGTCGTGAGGGAGCGGCGGTAGATTCATGTGAGAAGACGTGCGTCCTTGTCGGGGGCCGCCTCCGTCCCGCGGCGGTGGCGCACGGACTGCTCCGCCGCGTCCCTCTCCCGTGCATGCTACCTCTCGCGGCGCGCGATGCGCGCCTCTGACTTCGGAGACCGGAGTGCGCGTGCGTGCCGGCGACGCGGGCACAAGCACCCAACGTTGGCCGTGAGAAGGAGTGGCCGGCGGGGGAAGAAGACGGCGCGGAGCCGATGCAGACTATTCTGTCATTGCATCGCTGCGCGCGGGCCAGGAGGGTGCAGCTCCGGCGTCCACGACGCTCCTGATCCGGAGCCGCCGCCGATCTTCACCTTGGACCGCCCCAGCGCAATGCGGAGGGCCATCTCCTCCTCGTAGTCGAGCTCCGAGCCGGAATCGCTGTCGGAGCTGCTCATCGTAGTGGATGGGGGCGGAATCAGAGAGGGAGAGGAATGGACGGAGCGAGAGAGAGGGGGAGAGTGAGCTAGGGTTTGAGCTCGTCGGCCGGATTGGGTTATTTTATGGGATCGATGGTGGGTCGGGCCTGTCAGGCGGACGTGCCGGGGTCATCCCATATCCGCCCTATATTTGGACTGGATATGACGGGTGTCGGTCAGCCCGGACGTTTGTCTGCGGTTTTAAAGGTCTGATTGGGTTGATTTTTTTTTTGACCGGTCAATGACCGGACGGATTGCCCGGACGTTCGAGACGGGTATGAAAGGCCCGAGTGTAGATGCTCTAAGGCCTTGTACAATGATGGATGCTTACATACAGGTGCTTGAGAAAAAAGTGCACCGTTGCACATCGTCTTGCAATGCAGAGGTGCTAGGCACAGGTGCTTCGATTGCTCAGAAAGAGGCGTTTGGCCCCTTTTTCCCCGTCAATAAGGCTTTAAGGGAGCATTTATTTTCTAAGCACTGGCTGGCACAGGAAGTAAACATTTGCTTCTGCCTCCGTTCCTAAGCGCCGGTGCAATCCAACATGAGTAAAAGAAAACAGGTTTATTTCTACGGCATCTGGCTAAGCACCCGGCGTTGTGCATGGGCCTATTCTACCTCAGTTGTTGACACCGGACACAAAATATGTCTTCCGGAGGGTTTCTTCAAATCCAGCCCATTTATCTTTTTGGGTTGATGCCCCGCCGGAGTTCATTGTTAAACTATTAGCGAATGATGTAACGGTCATATGATTAATAAAGTTTGTCTTCCTGTAAAAAAAAGCATGCATTAACGCTTGGGTTTGGTCACCATGTTTGGTTAGACCAGTGCGAGAAATTTCTTTCTTACCTGTAAACATTGTGGTGATATAAATAAAGCTTAGCAAGAGTGCCTTGAAAAGAAAGAGAGAGAAAAAACTAGTCATTGTGCACCTTGACGCCACCGCTTGCTTGTCATTTGGAGCGATCAATCAAAGAGCCATACTTGTAAGTTGAACCAACATTCCAGCAGCACGAAACATCCATATTGTGCAAGCCAGCGTATACTTGCGCGGCGCAGGCCTGCGTTTAGGCCCTTTTCTCAACCTTTACAATATAAATAAAAATGCCTTCGGGGTTTCTCTCCCCTTGGGTCGAGTTTTTTTTTTTAAGCAGCACGAAACATCCTTGTTCCCTCGTTTGGTTCAAGGACTGATGAACTGATTCTCGATTTGGCGTGTGCAGAAACAAAGCAGCTATGCTTCGAAAAGAGCCACGCACGTACATCCATGGAGAAACGGCGGACCAAGCGCACCCGACGCTCTTGCCGTGCCGTGTCTGCCGAAGCCGACGGGGCCGATGAACCAACAGACACAGCAGAACCACTCGTGCCCTTCCACAGAGCACAGAGCGGTCGAAACGCTTGCAATCTTGGAGAGGAGTTTGACCTGTAGCAGCTTCCGGCCCACCGGGCGGCGCTTACTTACTTATTGACCGCTAGCTAGCTTACTCACTGAATCTAAGACTGCAAAAGACGACGCAGGAGAAAGAAAGAAAAATTCAATCTTCATTCTTACAAGAACACATACACACACATTGCAAGCGTGTTAAGAATCTTCATTCTTGGTCTGTTTCCGTAGCATCTCGATAACTTGGTCCAGGGGCGGGTCTCCGGGCCTCCGGAAAAACTGGTCGCCGACCTTGAACTCGTACGCCTCCGGCTGCCCCAGAATGAACTCCTTCAGCTACAAGAACACACACACACACACACACACACACACGGAATTGATAGGACGCCGGTAAGAGCAGGAAAGGAAACACATCGATGATGTTTCACAGTAATTAATTTAGCTAGACTTTGTACTGTACTCTGGTTTCATTCTGACAATGGATCCGGGGATGATCTATCTAAAAGGGAAATGTTTCACAGTAATTACTTTAAGGTCTGAACATCAGATGCCGTGCGTGCTCTGAACAAAAATGTAAGTAACCTTAGGAATTAGCATCTCAGATGGTGATTGTACCGATACACTAGAATTGTTCGTTTTTCGGTTACGGGATTGATTTTCGTTTCATGCCTAATAACATCAGGAATGTGCACACAAACTGCTGTTCGTAGTACTGGCTGATTAATCCACGCATATGAACTATGAAGATCTTCAAATTATGTAGTGTCAGGCCGGGAAGAAATGAAGCCTGACTGCCCGAGTCGTAATAACTGAAGAAAAATGCAGAGCAAATGAGTGATCCCCTTACCTCGCGCATGTCGCGCCCTCTCTCCATGGTGAACATGAGCGTGCCCAAGTCCACGGCCACGAATTTCGCCGCCACCGACCCGGTCCGCAGCACGTTGCTCCACCGCGTCGCGATCCCCGCCACCTCCTCCCGGGTCCGCCGGACGCCGGGCCGGAGCTTCACGAAGCCCAGCGACGGCCCGCCGTGGCCGCGGAGGATCTCGGCCCGGAGCGCGGCGGGGTCCATCCGCGACAGGTCCGGCGGCGGCCGGTCGGGGACGTCCCGCGCCCCGGAGCCGGCGCCCCAGTGCCGCCACTCCTCGTCCTCCTCGTCGTCCACCACGTCGCGGAGGTCGTCCGGGATCGCCGCCCGCTTCGCCCCCAGCGCCGTCCCGCCGCACAGCAGGAGGAGCAGGGCGGCCGCGGCGGCGACGAGGACGAGTCTGCCCTGCCGCGCCATTCTCGCCGGCGCGCGTCAAAGACGCCCGTGATGAGACGGTTTCCGTCAGTCTCCAAACGACCAGCGTGTGGCTAACCGGCCAACGAACCAACCGCTACACGAATGACTTGTTCCTACTGAAACCACCCCCCAAATACAGCATTTCCTCTTTGGAGGCGTAGAAATTCAACATTTTACATACATGTACTCCATCCGTTTCAAAATATTTGAATTTCTACGTTTGTTCTAACTCAAACATTTGAAGTTCAACAGAGTTTATAGAAAATTATACCGTATCAACATCAACCAACCATATATAGCATGAGCAGATATTTTTATAGTATAAATGTAAGAAGACTTATTTGATGTTGTACATGTCTGTACATTTTTCTGTAGAATTAGGACAAATCTAGAACTTCAAATATTTTGAAACAGATGGAGTACAAACTAACTACTGAACCCCCAAACTGAAGAGAGAACCACATATTTATTTGCACCAACTTATAGTGTTCATTCAGCTAGGAACAGTTTGGAGCGCAGGAATTTCACCAGAAAACAGCTCGATCCCGTAGGAAATCGACGAGAATTCTCGCTTTTCAACTGTGACCTTTAACAAACAACTTGTTTTCGATCGATGACGCACATCCATCTCAGAAGGTAAATTTAAGTGCTGCTGCATATTAAACTGAGGCTGGAGGTAACATTTGAAAACACTGACAGTGCACTTATTTACATGGCATTCAGACTTGGGCTTGGACGAACTACAGGCTGTTTAATTGCAGTTGCTGCAACAAAACATTGTGTGCAAATTGCGCCGGAGAAACAGGTCCTGAACTGACTATGGGTCTGCATGGCCCAGTATGGGCTCATCGTCACCGGAGTCATCGTCGTCTTCTTCGCTCAGCTCTTCGTCGCTCGAATTATCTTCTGGGGTTATACCCGCATCCTCTGGCTTGGCATATTTCTCGCAGAATTCTGCAGAACCAGTAGCAATAGAAGTCAGCTTACAAGTACCACGGAAGAGAGCATGATCCAACAAACATGCATATGGTTACGAAAATAGTATCTCCTGATGAGTTCTGCGCTCAATATATCAGATATAGTCTTCTTAAGTTTGATTTAGCTACATGACTAATGACTAAGAACCATATATTCGAATAAAGCAAAGCGTCTCCATCTCATCCTAGAAGCACAAGCTGCCTCAGCAAACACAAGCTGCATCAGAAGATTTGGACACACTGCCAGGTCTCTAGCACGATACAACTACAACATGTTTCTCACTTCCTCTGGAGGTCTTCCATGATTACAATTACTTATCGCATTACCTCATGATCCCACATCCAGGATAAAACCAGTATTGTTTCTTGGTTATTTGGGTTTTGGCATGTTTTCTAGCAAACATGCCACAGGTGCTTGTACAGACCGTCTCCTTTTCAACTTAACTAATAGGCAGAGCTCCTGCCAGTTGCTCGAAAAAATTGTACCTACCCATCCCATGCTGACCAAACACCCCCTCTCATCAATAATAGTCTAATTACTTGATGTTGTGCAAATTTGATGCTGATATGCATCACCTTACATGCACAAACAATATGCATACAAGTTGGGATATTAGACTTGGGCGCAGGTAAATGAGCAGCCAGGTCAAATTTTATGCAGCAATTTCCCATAAACGAACTTGTATTTTGATTTCTAGATGAGATAAAACCACACACAAGTTATAACTACGCAAGCATCTCCTTGTACCACATAAATTTAACCTACTGGCTACTGCAGCCAATCTATGGTAACCAGGCAGCAAGCAACAGGTTAAAACTTACGCTATGCGCTTATGGGTCTGAAGCCTACTCAGATTACATACATAACTATGTAACCTATCAGGTAAATTTAGATTGCTATATAGAACATATAACTGAACGCCCAAAAGAACAACTGCAACAAACCAACATTCTTTGGAGGCTTCTTAGCTAAAACCTATCCAAAAGAGGTCTCTGACATGCATTTATTAGTTACTAAATACAGGCTTTCACGCTGCTTTATGTACAAAGAAGCCGCCACGTCCATACAACAAGTCCGAGTGCAACACACACATTTTTTAGTTACTAAATGCAGGCTTTCGCGCCGCTTTATGTATAAAGCAAGCCGCCACGTCCATACAACAAGTCCGAGTGCAACACACGCATTTATTAGTTATGAATTACGATTGTTTATTGTCTAGATGAACTCGGCATTGTAAGTTAAAAAGACAAGTCAGGGTGCGAGGCCACCATGTCTATGAAAGAGATGAATTCCCTCTTTACACTAGTTTGGAAGGAGCGTAAAGATAATCCAATGGATAAAAGTTTTACTAGAGAGATGTGTGTTAAATAAATATAATCACCTTTCACTTTTTGCTCATAAGCAGGGCGATCACGCATCAAGAGTGCAGCAGCTTCTCCATTCAATGGATCAGAGGGATTTGGATATAACAAAAGTTGCGGAAGGAAGACTTCAAACACATTGACAAGATCTGTAAAAAAGTATTATACAGTTGCAAGGTTAGAAGATTGTCATAACAACAACCGTAGAGCTCTGCGTTTATACAGAGAATGTAAGGAAGCTAATTAGCATGTTCGTCTAAAGAACAATGAAATAGAGAGATTAGAATTTACCAAACATTGGGCTCCATGTCTGGTTAATGACATCCAAGCAGACGGAACCAGACCTACAATTTGCATTCATCCACAAGTGGTTAGGAAATACTAGAAAGTTATAGCATCATAGTTTCGGATCGACTGAGCATGAATACTGAATTCGAGAGAACACTCACAGTTCATCGACATTCGGGTGATATATCTTATTAACGAAACCAATCGACGGAGACCTGTAAGGATACGCATCGGGCAGTTCTACTCGAACCTTCCATACACCTCCTTGGTAGAGACCTGTTAATATTAAAATCCATCACTGAGAGCAGCAGTCAACCATTGTAGCAACTCATCTTATATTGCTGGGCTGGTATGGAAACATAATCACTGAAGCTTAACAAGAGCTAAAGGCGTCAACATGCAAGGGAAGCTGCCAGCGACGTTAAAACATTGAGATCTATATATTCGGCGTTGCTCTTGAGCTAAATCGGTAGAATGAGCAGAAGAAGGAAATCTCGAAACTTGTGCTAGTAGTATATATCTATATCTAGATTCAGAAACCAGAGGCTACTATAGGCGAGAAGAAGCGAATCATCAAATCGGTTCTAAGAAGAAGAAGAAGCGCGGGCACGTACTCTCTTCGGGCCCGCGGAATTCGACGAGGAACTCCTGCATCCCGTCGTTCACCGTCTCGACCTTGTAGTCGCTCATCATCCTGCAAAGAAAGCACCGGAAACACAGATCAGGGAATCCGCCGTGAAAATCCCCGTACACCCACAAGAAATCTATGTGCGGGGTTCCATTGCGCGTGCTCACAGCTTCATGAGGTCCATCTCCCGGCGCTTGCTCGGAGACGACATCCGTGCCCGGCGGGACGGCCCGGCCCGACAATCAAGAACGCGGTTTGCCCTATTGGGGATAGGACGAGGGAGGGAGGGAGGGAGGGAGGGAGAGGATCGAGTCGCCTGCGCCTGCGCCTGCGTCTGCGATGGGAAAGGCGGGGCAGAGGGGATGAGGAAAGCAGAGGGGAAAGGGACAGGGCCGCCGAGCGGGGATGGGATGGGATGGGATGGGATGGGAGGGGGGAAGAAGACGACGGATGATGGATGGACGCAGACGCAGAGGGAACTGCTCTCGCCTCGTCTGGTGGTAATGGGGAAAGACGATTAGTTACAGTATTTTGTAAATTATTAATAATCGCTTTTGGTTTAATTTATTTATTTAATCTGGGTGAGTTACCTATATTTACTTATACAAAGTTCATTCACGTTTCTGTTTTAAGTAGTAGTAGTACGATTTTGTTGTGACGAATTGGTTGGAAAATCCTCTCGCCGAATTCGGTTTGCGCAGAACGAAGAGAAAAAGAAGGTCTGAGTGGAGTACGGCCTACGTTTATATGGCAGCGAAACGGACGGCCGACGGTGCCGAGTTTTTCGTGGATCCGTCCGATTTTCGCGTGCTTCCGCGAGGTTGCAATATCCTACTGCTGTTTGGCGCATTTTTTGATGTGGAAAAACAAAACTCTGTCGGCAAGATCCCGTGGGGTTGGCCCTACCAAACAAACAACGCTTCCCAAGAAGTGTCACGTCTAAGTTCAAAAAAAAAAAGAAAAAGAAAAGAAGTGTCACGTCTTGGTTGCCGTGGTTGATCCACGCCGCCATCTCGGCTCCTCCGCCGATCCAAAGCCCAAGGATAGCTCCTTGCGTGCCTTTTTAGCACTTTGCATACTTGTCCCAATTATACTTGTTTTCATGGGTCATTTTCGTGTCGTTCCTTGCAGCGGCCCGGGAGAAACCCCAAATCACCGCTGCCGTTGCCCCCACCCACCCCCCTCCTCGCAGCCATTAGAGGGCACTGCGGGGCAAATGGTGGGGACTTCTCCATCTCGCTGGGACACGAGCAGTGCAGGCCAGGGGCGGCTTGCCTGCTAAGATGCGGGGCTCAGCTGGGTGACGAGGGGTTGATGCGAACGCTTCACTGCTACCGGCGCGCGTGTAGGAAGGTGGCCACGACGTTGACGCGGCTGTGGCGTGCGAGCAGGCAAGGAGCGCGCCGGAGGCAGGTAGTCGCAGCTTCGGAGCCTGCTGCCATGGGTCGGACCGGATCTGGCGGGTTGTTGTGCGCGATGCGTGAGGGTGGCTGGCACGCATGGCGCGCACACAAGGTCAACGGTCGGTTGGGAGGGGAGGCGCAGATCTGATAGGGCGCGGTCACGACTGTTGGGGAACGTAGCATGCAATTTAAAAAAAAAATTACGATCACGCAAGATCTATCTAGGAGATGCAACGAGACGGAGAGAGTGTGTCCACGTACCCTCGTAGACCGAAAGCGGCAGCATTATGTTAACGCGGTTGATGTAGTCGAACGTGTTCACAATCCAACCGATCCAAGTACCGAACGTACGGCACCTCCGTGTTCAACACACGTTCAGCTCGATGACGTCCCTCGAGCTCTTGATCCAGTAGAGGGTCGAGAGAGAGTTTCGACAGCACGACGGCGTGGTGACGGTGATGGTGATGTGATCCGCGCAGGGCTTCGCCTAACCACTACGATGCTATGACCGGAGGAGTAAACTGTGGAGGGGGGCACCACACACGGCTAAGAGATTTCTTGGTGTCCTTTGGGGTGCCCCCCGCCCCCGTATATAAAGGGGGGAAGGACGAGGTCGGCGGCCAGCAGGGGCGCGCCATGCGGGGGAGTCGCCCCCTCTGTCGGTGTCAAAACCGACGGATCTCGGGTAGGGGGTCCTGAACTGTGCGTCTAAGGCTGATGGTAACAGAAGACGGGGGACACAATGTTTACCCAGGTTCGGGCCCTCTAGATGGAGGTAATACCCTACTTCCTGCTTGATTGATCTTGATGATATAAGTATTATAAGAGTTGATCTACCACGAGATCGTAGAGGCTAAACCCTAGAAGCTAGCATATGATTCTGATTGACGTTGTCCTACGGACTAAACCCTCCGGTTTATATTGACACCGGAGGGGGCTAAGGTTACACGGAGTCGGTTACAAAGGAGGATATCTATATATCCGAATTGCCAAGCTTTCCTTCCACGCAAAGGAGAGTCTCACTCGGACGCGAGACGAAGTCTTCAATCTTGTATCTTCATAGTCCAACAGTCCGGCCAAAATATATAGTCCGGCTGTCCGAGGACCCCCCCCCCCAATCCAGGACTCCCTCAGTAGCCCCTGAACCAGGCTTCAATGACGATGAGTCCTGCGCGCAGATTGTCTTCGACATTGCATGGCGGGTTCCTTCTCCAAATACTCCATGGAAGATTTTGAACACAAGGATCGTGTCCGGCTCTGCAAAACAAATTCCACATACCACTGTAGAGAGTATAATATTTCCACAAATCTAATCTGCTGACAATTGTTCATAACGTGACATCACGCCATGGCCCGGTCATTATTCGAACCATTTTTCTCAACCAGCCACTGCACGTGTTGCGAGGCGGTTTTATTGGCACGTCTTGTCGAAGCAGAGATCGTGTTCCCCTTATCATGAGATTCTCATCAATACGGGTGTGGGTAACCCAATCGTGCTTGTTAGTATGACTCCTCGATTTTAGGCAAGTTCCAAACGGTCACGCGGAGGACGCCTGATATTCGCCCTCTTTATAAAGGGGCCAAGGCCTATCCTTTTCTTCTCGCGCTCAATCCTTCCCTTCCCTCACCTCGAGTTCCAACACCCAAGGCTCAGGTTAAGCGCTTCGGACCTTCAACCATGTCCGGATCCAACCTTCAAGGCCGGTGGATGGCCTCTTCTGTCACAGAGGAGGACATCAAGAAACTAAGAGAAGCCAGGTATCTGACCGCCGAAATCTCGCACAGGCTGCCCGCTCAAGGGCAGGTCATCCCCACTCCCGAACCCAACGAGAGTGTCGTATTTGTTTCCCACTTCCTCCGAGGGCTAGGCTTTAGTCTTGATCCCTTTGTTAGAGGGCTTATGTTCTATTACGAGCTCGATTTCCACAATCTAGCCCCAGATTCCATCCTTCACATCTCGTCGTTTATCGTCGTGTGTGAGGCCTTCCTCCGCATCACCCCACACTTCGGCTTATGGCTCAAGACCTTCAATGTGAAGCCGAAGATGATCGATGGGCGACACGCAGAATGTGGAGGTGCCATAATAAGCAAAGGCGCCGATGCTCCATGGCCAAAGGGTTCCTTCCCGGTGTTACGGCATATCTCTCTCAAGGTAGTTTTGGTGATTGATGACAACATGTTTGTGGACTAATCTTGTGCTTTGAATAATTCACAGATTCTCCCCTGGCACGAGACGCTTTCTTCCCCTCGGAGTGTATTTCAAGACGGTGTAGCTCTTTCATTTCTTTCTCGGTGGACTAGTTGCGTAGAGGGCACAATACTATCAAGAGGGGGACCGCTGGGGTATTGCATGGGTGGAATCATCACGTACACATCAGCTTCTCACCCTCCGAGCTTTTCCATTCCATTGTAGAGTTCTCTTCTCTCTTCCTTGTCCTGTCTGGGTCCAAGCGGTAGTACCGTGCACCCAGCGGTAGTACCGCTGAGGAGCCACAAGCGGCAGTACCGCTCCACAGCGGTAGTACCGCCCGTGGCTCCACAGCAGTAGTACCGCTGGGGTGCCTGGCACCTCCGCCTCGTCCTCAGCATCTTTGAGAGATTCTCTCTCTCTCTCTTATGCGCCCCAACGATAGTACCGCACTGCCAGCGGTAGTACGGCCGAAGGGTCACAAGTGGCAGTACCGCTCCACAGCGGTAGTACCGCCCGTGACCCCGCTGCCGTAGTACCGCCGGGCAGTCTGGCTCCTACTGCCTCGATTCGAGAGGTCTTTTTCTCGTGTCGGGTTTTGCGGCACTAGTTGCGGTTGTAGAGGCGGTAGTACCGTTCCAGGAGCGGTAGTACCGCCCCTACCACCGCGGTAGTACCGCGTTTGGGTCCTTTCCTTACTAGTCTCCTCTACGTGGCAGTGCCGCTGGCTGGCGTGGCAGTACCGCTGTCCTGGCGGTAGTACCGCCCCCTCTCAGCGGTAGTACTGCCCTGTGCGGGGCTGGTTGGTGGGGGGCAACGGTTGGATTGTTGCCCCCACTATAAAAGGGAGTCCCCTTCTTCTCTTTGACCTACCTCTTCCTCCCCCAAGCTCCATTTATTGCTCAAGCTCCATTAAATGCTCCAAGCTCCATTTTGCCCGATCTATCTCTTTAGCCAATCAAACTTGTTGATTTGCTCGGGAGTGGTTGAGAAGGCCCCGATCTACACTTCCACCAAGAGATTTTCGATTCCCCCACTCATCCCTAGCGGATCTTGTTACTCTTGGGTGTTTGAGCACCCTAGACGGTTGAGGTCACCATGGAGCCATAGTCCATTGTGGTGAAGCTTCGTGGTCTTGTTGGGAGCCTCCGATTAAGTTGTGGAGATTGCCCCAACCTTGTTTGTAAAGGTTCGGTCGCCGCCTTCAAGGGCACCAATAGTGGAATCACGGCATCTCGCATTGTGTGAGGGCGTGAGGAGAATACGGTGGCCCTAGTGGCCTTTTGGGGAGCATTGTGCCTCCACACCGCTCTAACGGAGACGTACTTCCCTTCAAAAGGAAGGAACTTCGGTAACACATCCTCGTCTTCACCGGATCCACTCTTGGTTATCTCTTACCTTTACTTGTGCAAGATCTTTAGTGTTTCTTCCCTTGCTTGCTTGTATGCTTGTTGTTATTGCATCATATAGGTTGCTCACCTAGTTGCACATCTAGACAACCTACTTTGATGCAGAGTTTAATTTGGTAAAGAAAAGTAAAAATTGGTAGTCGCCTATTCATCCCCCCTCTAGTCAACCATATCGATCCTTTCACCCAGAGGTGTCCAACTTATGGCAGCG